CAAGGGAAGATTCAACACAATACAAGGTTAGTGTTAATCGATCTTTCAAAAACATTGCCATAACTTTGGTATTGATTAACTTGGTTCATATTACTCTTGTCATGGAGTCGCGTGATTATAAAGTTGTCATAAATAATGTCTCTGAAAATGATATAAATATTGAGAAATATCTGTTTGTGGTATTTTTATCATGATATATTCTAATTAACAGAAGGTTATCTACGATCAATAGACCTGAGAACGTTACAAAAACCAAACAAACTCGAATATAAGGCTCTTTCATTCTAACTAGCTTATACCTGCTATACCAAGCTAAACGATTAGTAATAGTTGTTTTAAATTAACGTAGTTTGAGTCTTTAACAAACGCATTTTAGTTGGTTGACTGTCTACAGTATTTATGTCGTATGGTTCAATAAAAAATGAATATCTTTGTCTTCTAAGCAAAGTCTATGAGGTTTCTGATCTTTCGCGAATATTTTGCACAGTGAACGTTAACACTACTTTGAAGCTATACGTTATGTTCAATGATCGTACACCCCAATATGTTACGTATCGGGTACATCTATGTACCCTCGCCGAATTTGGATGTGTACGATAACCATTGCCTAATTAGGTATGTTTGATTAATAATATTTCTTTTAATAAATTTTTTAAACTTGATAACGAACAGAAATATCGTAACAATATTGCACTTTTATCGGTTTGACTAAAGTGCACATATACAAACTTATTCTTGATTTAACAATCATTTAATGTCGAATAAACAAAGTAATTTAAGGCTTCGTTATTACTATTTTTCTAATGTAGAAAACTTTTTAACTCATTAAATGTTATATAGAGAAAAACAATAGCCGTAAGATGATAAACTATGTACCAACTCCGGGTCCTGTATATTGTTATTTACAATTCTTTTAAAAACTTAAATGTATGATCATAAAAATATAATATTATTTAACAAGAAATCATACTTTTATTCGGTGATTAAAACTAAATACACTCTTGGTTGATTTTATATACTGCTCTATAAACTTTAGTGATTATCTACCTAAAAATTGACTATTGCCTATTTCTAATTATAGTTATTTTCATAAACTCAGATAACTAAAAACATTTAAAGGTGCAAAATTCTATATAATTTCTTTGTTGTATAGTACGGGACAGTAAAAGACATCCAATCTATACATATAGGCGCCAATTTTTGGTGCTTATATGATCAATTCTGATTGGCTAATTTTGTGTAATTGATTTTGATTGGTTAAAAATATATATATGTTTTCTTTTTTTATATTAAACGTTAATTTTTTAAACTCATAAACTTTAATCTTTTATAACTTTTTTAAAACAAAGAATAAAAAAAAAATACTTTGCCAAAAATGTAGTTTATTCAAAAATCTATCAATTTGTCAGAGGTTTTTTTGATTTAACCTGTTTTAAAAAAGTTATTACATTTCTAAGTTTTTATTAATAAACATTGAATGTTTTGTACTATATAACTAATAAAAATATTTGTTATACATATTTAAGACTAACTTAACTATAACTTTAAACCTAATTTTAATATTAATAATATATAGTTTAATTGTATTATTTGATTATATTACAAAATTTACTTTGTTGTATAACTAATAAAAAACATTTTTTGTACAGTTATACTAATAAGACATTATTATTAATCTTAATTCTAATTTTAATGTTAATATTAAACTTCTTTATATATAATAAAAGAAAAATTTATTCAATATATAAATATATTTTTTTAGTTTTTTTTAATAAAATAATATGTTTTTTTTGTATATTTATATTATATGTATTTTTTTAAAAAAATTATAACTAATTTTTACCTTAGATGATATTACCTTATATTATAAAATCAGAATCTAATGTAAATCTAAATCAGATATGAGATCTAGCATCCTAACATAAGAAACTATCAATATTATATGATTGATTCTTCACCTAGTATATTAACATATAAAATAATTATTTTACAATACCAGGTTAGTGATTTGAACTGATTAGACTAAACCAGTTAACTGACCTGAACCAGATAAATTTTGAGTAACTGGTTGAGTAAATTCTTAATCGATTAAGCTATACAATTAGTTAAAAATTAATAATCAGGTAAAAGGATCAAGAATTCCAAAAAGATAAAAAATTTGAATAAAGATCTGAAGGTAAAATATGAAGTAAATCTTAACTAGTTGAATTGGTTAGCATAAAATATTTTGGTTTGGTTAACTGATTAAAAAAATTTTTCTCAGTTCAAATTATTACCTATAGGAATCCATCTGTAAAGGTAACAACACTGAATCAGTGTTAAGTAAAATTTTAAAGATTTGTAGTTTAGTATTTGAGGTTCTTTGTTATTTGACTATGTTAAATAAGGTTTAAATATTTTAAAAGTTTATTTTCTCACTCTTTAAGTATCTTTTATTATATTTTAGTTAATATGTTTAATATTTTAGTACTAATTTTTTGTTTACTTTTTGTTTTTTTAATAATCTACAGAAAGTTTTTTTTTTGCTTAAGATATATGTATTATTATTATATATAAGCTAGACATGTATGCATTTTATTATTTACCTTTTTGAAAGCAATCATATTATAAATTATTTTTGGAATATTTGAAACTCAAAATCTTAAATTTATTATTCAAAAGTATTTAATAATATAAAATATTAAAGACTATTTAAAGGATTACAGTGTTTGATTTTAATTGTATAAAAATTCAAAATCAAGCAGATAATCTTAATAAATGAAATAAAAACATGCAAAGTTCTAATAATTTAATTATATTTAAAAAATAGTCAAAGAATTTTTAATAGTCTTATTAAAACAACTAATTATATATATACTAGCAAAATAATCAACTCTTAAAGTATATTGGTAGTTAAAGTATAGCAAAATGTAAAGTCCATATCATTTATCATCAGACACAATTCAAATTATTATTTTAGCAATTGTAATGTAGTAATGTACATAAGAATAATGTAATAGATAAAAAATTAATTATAGCTCATTGTATTCTAAAAAATCAAGTAATAAAAAGTTGCTTTTTTTGCAATAAAAAAGTATAGAACGGTGTTTTATATTGCTTCTGCATTTGTTGATTTAGTAACAAAGATTGCAGTAATAGCAACAGTTACAAGTATATCCATATTCTCCTTAGTTTGCTTTTTCAACTATTAAATATTATCTAATTTCAAGTATTTAATTAATCATGATAAAGCCCGCTATCTTATTTCGAAAATAAGTGGGAGTTTACTTCTATTTTAAAATCCCGACTCAGGGAATTAAATAGGGTGCACAAGTTAATAAAATTGATATTTACCAGTAAATGATTATGTAAATAAAGTAAATACGTACTTATTTCATTTGAAATCGGAGGCCAAATCCTTAATTCTGAATCACCCTAATAAAAAACAACGATCATAAAACGCGGATTCCGATCTACAAAGCGGATTTCACTATTTCACAACTCAGGTTCACCTGTTCTAATATAATAGCTTAAACCATTTAGATTTAAAACAACCGTTATACTTATTGCGTAAATTATTAATATAAATAAAATTTTGTAATACTTATATATTGTGTGAAAATTCATATTCAAGTTCTATGGCTATATTGCAGCATTAATAGTCTGTTCAAAAGACAAGTAATAACGTTTCAGTCCGGTGATCAAAGATAGATTAGGCGTGGTTATCAAATTATCTTTCATTAAAAATCTTTAAGTTTTTCGTTTCAGTCTTTGACGATCATTGATTATCATCGCATCATCTCAGTAAACAATTCGACAGAAGAAACCAAATAGCATATAAGATTAGCCTTTCATAATAAATGAGGATTTCTATTTGTACCCGGTGGGTATATACCCGGTATAATAAAAATAAAAAATCGTTGATATCTCAAAATTTTGTTAAGAAAGACTGATGTAGGTGCCTTAAATAAAAATGTTCTGCTCCTAATTTTTTAATATATGAATATACCTTAAACACTAATCTATCTTAACTTACCCTAACCTAATATATTATATATTTTTTCTTATACCGGTATCATCCCTACGGGTATTTTTACGTAGAGAATTTCTATTTAGATTAAGGTTTCAAACCACCTCATAAAATACTTTGATATGTACTGTAACTTGCTATCTGACAGGAAGTATCCCTTAAACTGTCAATTTAACTACGTATCTACTACGATTTAGACTACAAATTCAATATAATTTGATAGCTTAATAACAGATCAATCATGAAATTTCCAGGCAAATTTGCCTGGAAAACAATTTAAGGGATAATCTTAATACATATAAAAAATTTTATTTACAATTCGTGTATATAGTTAAATTAAAAATCTGCACAGGCTGCGTATTCTATTTTCAGTTCTTACGTCAAAAAAAAAAAAAAGAAGAGATATCGGCACCGTGCAATAACTTATCAATATTGATATATATATTTTTATTCAAACTACTACATTATGTCAATGGAAGGAACGTATGAAAAATTTGATACTATCGAAGCAGCAAAACTTAGTTTTCTGAAATTGAGGGATTATATATCCCGATAGTTAGTTATGTGGTAAATATTGTTAAAGAGATCGAAGAAACCTTTAAAAAGCTCAAAGCAATAAAAATATCTGTCTAATCTCATTTGACCGAACTAAAGATGCTGAAAGTGCAATGAACAAAATATTGAATTATAAAGATGATTATGAGGAATTTTAAAAAGCTATAAAGCTTTTGAAAATTTTTAGATGCTAAGCACGTATGATAAGTTGACGAATGAGTTTGAGACGTCTGTGAAGGATCTGCATTTCGTGGTGATGATAGTTAATGAAGTGCAAAGAAAAGATAATAAAAAAGTCGAGCATGATTTAGAAAAAATGAATAAAGTTTGTATCAATAGTTTATGAATAATAAATGTATAATGATAGATGTAAATATTCCAAACATTCAATTTATAAAAATCTAATGACTAAGGACTTTGGAGATGATGTACGATCATGAGAATTGATCCGCCTGAATTAACCGACGAATGTTATTATGTGCACCGAGGAAGAAATATTTCAAGGAAGCATGTAAAGGTGCTTGTAAACCAATTGAAAATTTTGAAAGAATTCAAAACGAATTGATGGTTCTTAAAAAGTTAAACAAATCTAAAAATTGATCATGGATTTTTGAAGGAATTATACGAAAAATATGACATCACGTGGCATAGAAAAGTACTTGATATTTGTCGTGGCCTCATATGTTCAATATCGTTCACCATGAATAACGTTTTTAATAAGTAATTATAAGACAACAAAATTAGAAACTTCACGTCTTACTTTATAAACTGTCAAAGTAATTCGGAAGTTAGATGAGAGGTATGTCTGAACATTTTAATTTAGCCAATAAGTCATAAATATAATATACGAATCTATTAAGTTTAGTAATTTGTTTCTGAAAGATTTATTTATTTTAGAAATTGATATTTCCACACCCTTTTTTTGATATTGCCACACCCTTTTTTTGATATTGCCACACCCCTGCTAACTCTAAACCTACCAAACCCTAATAATCTATATTGATGTTTATTAACAGGGGTGTGGCTATGTCAAAAAAGTGTGTGGAAATATCAATTTCCTTTATTTTATTATGTTTTATTTATAAGCCCAAGACAGGTATCGCCAGTAAAATAGTTTAGCGAAATAATTTAGTAACAAGCCTAGCAGCACGAAGTAGTAAAATAATTTAGTAACAAGCCTAGTGACACGAATAAAGTATGTAAATTTTGAGATTAAAATGTGACGGCACGTTGATTATTATTAAGGTTATTGGGATCAAATAGTTTGATGTCAATAAAACTAGCATTTCGATTAAGATTGATTTAGATGTTTTTTATTTGTTTTTTATACTTCTGTATCTTTTATTTTATTATTTCTATTTTTTTTTTAATTCGCGTATGTATTTAATAAGCTCTTGGTTTACGAGATCTTGTTGTGCTGGGCTTATGGTCTTAGATTCTTAATTGCGAGATGTCGTAGTAATGTTTTATTAAGGCCAATTTAGTCTTATATAAAATATTTTGTAATTTAGCTTCATATAAAACATCTTACCGATTTTTGATTATCGATTAACCAATCATATTTTGCAAATGTCACGCACAAATCAGTCAATCACAATAAAAGCCCGCATACCAACAATAATAAATGTTCATTTTCAACGTTTGTAGGTAAACAAAAACTTAGAACCAAAAAACAAAAACTTTAGATTCGCGCGCATGATGGACCTTCAGAATAATTACATACGGTGGTTCGTTGGATGGCACCTGAACAAGTCAAAAAATATAAAAAGAGGATAAAAGTCCAAGTTACAGCATTCATTCCGAAATTTTCAGGTACATATAACAATAGTATCAAAAGGTGATTGAGAAGCTCTTAGATGTGGAAATTTTCTGATAAAGAAATTTTATTACAGTTTACTAATATTATTGTTAATGGTAAAGTTTTTTTTTTTTTAGCTTACAATACTTCAATGATGCCAAATAAAGGCTCTAATAATTATTTGATTTTATTTTTCTTTATGCTTTGTATTTGTTGATAATTTCGCCTGAATTACTAATAACGAGTCATACAGCTGTAATTTATCAATAGATTTTGAGCCTAAACAAGAGATAAAAAATTAAAAAATTGCTATTACGGGTTTGGCGATACTTATTTAGTGTCGCAGCGATGCTAAAATTAACTGACTGAAATTTGGTTCCCAACCTTACAATCTAATTGGTTTATCAGAGGCCACATTACAAATACACATGTGCTAAATTATATAACCTTATTATTAGTATAACAATTTTAAATTTTTGTATTTTAAATTTTTATATATATTATATTTTATTAACCAATTTTTTAAAAAGACTCTAATTTTTAACCTAGGTGATATCACCTGGTTGTATAAAAACCAATCATTTCACAGGATCTTATATAACTAAAACAAAGCAAAGAAAAAATAAAAAAAAACTTTAATGCCTCAAAATTTTATTATGAAAACTAGTGAACCAAGTCGATTTTAAAAATTTGACTTGACTAAGTTGACTTAAGTTGATTATTTATTTTGGTTTTTAACTAAAGTTGATTTTTTTTTAAAGTATTGTCACATGATAAAATACACTAATTATATTACATATCAAATATGTATGTACATCAAAAGAACCAATTAAATTTACATATTTTTCAAATTTATTTAGAATTTATTTAAGATCTGGGTAAATGTTGAAATTCTTATTATTTTCCTTTAAAAAACTAAATTATGAACATTTTTTAGAAGTAATCTATTTTTTTTATCTGTTAGTACATTTTCAGCTGTTGAAAATAAATGCTCAGATAGAACAGAGGTTGCAGGAATTGCAAGATACCAACAAACTAATTGTGTAAATAAAGGTAATGTTTTTACATATAACTGATATCAAAAAAGTAGATTTACAGTTTTATATTTTGAATCATCAGAATTATATAATATTATTTGAGATAAGTTAAAATATGTTTTTAATTCTGTATCAATTGAAAATAATTTTTTAGTAGGGGTGGCATTATTAAAAAAAAATACCAAGTTTGAAGATGACTTTGTTATTGGTTAGTCATCTAAATATTTATTTTTATTTAACATATTCTTCTTTATTGTTTTAGAAATATTTTTGTTTCATTAAATTTTTTAGGAGCAAATTCTAGATTTTTAAATCTAAAATTCAAAATTGAAGCCAAATATCCTTCTGTTACTGGATCTTTCTATTGACTGGTTATGTTAAGTTCTATTTTATTTCTAATATGTATTACAAACAACTGGATGAGTAAGTATTGATTCTATTTTAAATAAATGTTTTTGAAGAGTTACAATTATTGAAAACATAAGAAAAATTGTAAAATATATATCTTTACCTATAAGAGATATTGTTTTCACAAAAGGTTCTAATAAATAAACAAGTTTTTTAAGGCCTAATAATTCATGTTCATTTAATAATAAAGTTTTTAACTTTTTTTTATCTTTACAAATTTCATAATTAATATTTTGAATCATCTTTTTTGTAAGTAATTATGTAAATTTATACAGCAACAATAGATGTTCTAAAAACATAAAAGTAGAATTCCAATATGTGGCCAATATTGTGGCTATTGGCTTTAAGAATTGCATTCAGCTTATAATATGAGAATTAGTTTTTTTATTGATTTCATCTTGTGCTTTTCTTAATATTTTTTTATATTTATCTTTATGAATTAAAAAACTATTTAAGTCTTTAGCTCTATTAATCAATATTGTTACTTCATTAGATTTTAAAGAATCTGTAATAGAAAATTGAAGAATGTGTATAGTGCAACAAATATGAATTACTTTAAGATTAGTTATTGTTTTAACTATTAATTTTGCATTATCAGTTGTTTCAGAAATATATTTTTCTGAAATATTTCATTTGGAAAACTTATGTTTTAAACAGTCCTCAATATGTTCTCTAGTATGAGGATAAAGAAATTCTTCAATAGTTATAAGCATTTGATTTAACTAAAGATTAGAGTTAAGCTAATGAGCAGTAATTTTGATATATGATTTATGTATACTTATCCAAAGATCAGTTATAAATAAAAAGGTATTTATTGTTGTTTGAAAAAAGTCAAGCATTTTATTTTCTCCAAAACTAACTGCTTTATATATATTTTTTTAAATATGTCTTGATATAAAACTTGATAATATAATTTAGCTTCATATACAAAGTCATGAAATTTTTATTTTCTAAAACATTAAATGCTTGTATATTATCAATAATTTATGTTAAAAGTCTGAAGATTAGTTTGTCTTTTTTTTAAAAAAATAATAATAGCTTATTTTTTAATATATTTATTAATGTAGATTGTGTAGAATCTTTTTAAGCTATATTAATAGTTTTTTTAGAGACTAGTTCTTTGAATATTCCTGATAATAGTAATAATGAACCTTTTTCTGATAAACAATATACTATATATAAATAGATATCAAGTGTACTTATGCTAATAAAAAGCATAAAAGTTTTATCACATTTTGCTATTTTTCTATTTTGTTTAACTGGAACTAAACATTTTATTTTATTTTTTACATATTTATCTTTTTTTATATAAAGTCACATCCAGCTTTTTCTAAATTTTGGTTTTTTGTTTAATAAATTACAAAAACTGATTTATGTTTTTTAGCATTTTGTAGAGTTTGAATATTTGGAGAGTTAGAATAGTCAAAAGTATTATATGTTGAAGCAAAACTTTCAGAATTATTTAATAGCAAAGTAGATTGTTCAAAATTATATAACAAAGTTGAATATTTAGAAGCATCTATTGGTGAAGTAGAATATTTAAGATTAGGAGATAAAGCAACATATTCAAGATTAGAAAATGAAGCAATATATTCAAGATTATATGATGAAAATTCTAAGAATAAGGTAAAAATTGAATCAGATATTTATAATAGTGAAGTAGAATATTCAAAATTAGAAGAAGTAAATTCATAAGATACAGTGAAAATAGAATTATATTCTAGAATATTGTTAAAAGTATCTTTTTTTAACTTATATTGAAATGTAGAAGAATTTTCTTGATCTATTTTAAAATATAGATATTACTAATAGATAAATTTCAATTGAGTTATTACTAATTCACTAAGTTAATTTTACTTTTTTATAAATATTTAAATGCATTTTTTTATATCAAAAAAAAAAATCTATTACTTTCTATTGAATATAATTTTTTGATCAATAATTAATTATTATATTAGAGTTTTTATTATTATTATTTTTTTTTTAAAGCATTCAATTTTTTATTATCTTTTTCTTATAAATTTCAATATGCATTTATATAGCTCCCTTTAGAATACACCTATTTAGCTTTATTGATTTCTTATTTTTTATTTTCATCTTGACTATGGTATTAATCACATACTTTTTTTAGATTAGTGTCTTTAAACTAGAAAGTTACAGGATATATGAGCTATAACTTTTAAGTATTATTTTATTATTATTCTATTTGTTTTCTTCATAAGAAAAAAAAATTAATTTTTATATTTATATACTGATTATTAATTCTATTTAAGAGACTCACTAAAACTTTATATGTAGTAATTTATTGGTTACTAATTTTTTATTGATTAATTTATAATTAGTAAGGCTACAAAGCTTTTGCATATTCTTTTTTCATTGGTATGCAAATTAAATTCTGTGAAGACCTCTAAGGTTGATAGCATAGCAGTTATGCTCTAAGGTCACAAATCACAAGGTTGTTGGTTCAAATCTTAGTAACAGCAATTGTAAAGATGTATTTCTAAAATAGAGAACTGCAACATTATAACACCAGAGATCCAGGATGTCATCAGACAGACTTATTTCTAGAAAAGGCAAGTAATCTGCAATTGAGAAGCCACCCAGTGATGAATATGAGTTAGAACCTAATTTGGAATAACTGAAGTCATGAGACATAATGTGAGGCTGAAAGTCTAACAATAAGAGATACTACATAAACTTATGATGATAGCTGGTTCTTGATAAAGCTTGGTAAAGACTTCTGATACTAGCAGGAATCAGTATGACAGTTGCTTTTAAAAAGTTTAAAAGTACAAACTAGGGGAGGTCAAGGTTCAGATCCAGAAGTATATTAAGAACATTAGTTCGAAAAATATAAGAACCACTGAAAGATCTCAGCAAGACTAATCAAAGATTATAAAAAAAAAAAAAAAATTTTGTGAAGAACATCCTGTTTGTAAATCTGATAAGTGGATAACAAAATATTTCTTTACTATTTATTTACTGACAAACAGTTTACTTTCAAATAAGTTTATTTATCTGATAATAGTCAGATTAGAGTGAGTATATGTATTTTTGCTATATTTAGAAATAATTAGGATATTTTTTTTTTTTTTTTTTTTTTGGAGTTAAGGTGAGGTCATGCCTCAGGTCTGTTTATTCGAACATATTGTTACAGT